ACTTCTACTTTCGTTGTTTGTTCGTGTTCTTTTTTGGGAGAGATTAATGATCTTGTACAAAACACACAAAAATGAGGTGATATTTCGTATGTCTTGTCACCTAAGAAATGTCCAAAATTTAAAAAGAGACCCATATACAAATGGCCCAAAATCGTACTAGAAAAATATGCTTTTTTCAACAAAAAGAAAATGATTCTAAAAGAAGGGAAAATGCGGAGACCACGAGAGAAAAAAATGCTAAGCAGTAAGCACTCATAACTGTCTGGATATTGTTGTTAATTTTTTCTATAAAATTGAGTTTATTTATTTAATTTTTTTAGTTATAACATGTGCATTTGGAACTTTAACAATTTAAATTTATTTGTTTATGTTTATTGTAAGAAAATAATTTTTTCCACAAAACAAATCAATCTAAACCATTTATTATTTATTATTTCCTCAACAAGTTTAAAACTCAAATTAATCGATTAATTAAAATTTCATGATACTTAAACTTTTTTAAATGGGATCTTAAATTTTTATCATAAAAATAATAAACAATATTTAAATAAGATTAAATAAAAGTTATAAAGTATACAGAAATATGAGTTTCAAACACCCTTTAATTACACACAAACGCTACAGCTAGAAGGTGCAAAGATTTGACTTGAGGTGTAAAGGCTTTGACTTAGGTGTAAGACTTCTAGCTTAATGTGCAAGAATATGGCTCAGGGTGCAAGCGATATGGCTTTAGGTGTAAGGCTTTTGGCTTTGGTGCAAGGATTTTGACTTAGGATGTACTTGTTATGGCTTAAAGTGCGAGGATTTTCTAACTTAGGTGTAAGAGAGATGCTTAAGGTACATGGCTTCTAGTTTAAGATGCACGTGTTATGGATTAAGGTGCAATACTTTTAGCCTAGGTTACAAGAGTCATGGCTTGTGTTATAACAACAAGATTTATATGTAATTCATACTCGTTTTAATGTAATTTTGCAACATTGACAGGGTCATGGTCTCCATGTGTTTGACATACATGTAATTGCTAGAGATTACATATAAATTATTTCTCAATCATGCTTATGAGTTTCTTCACATATTAATCTACATGTAATCCGTAGTTGTTTTCATGTAATTCTAAGGCACTGATAAAGGCATGCTTTCTATATGTTCGGTTTGCATATAATTCGCTAGAGATTATATGTAAATCATTCTTCAATCATACTTGCGAGTTTCTCACAAATTAATTTACACATAATCTGTAGTCATTTCATGTAATTATGGGGCATTAACGTAGACATGCTCTCTGTGTGTTTGATTTACATGTAATATGCTAGAAATGCATGCAAATTATTCCTCAGGCATGCTTGCAAATTCTTCTCTCATATTGATTTACATATAATTAGTTGTCGTTTTGATGTAACTATAGAGTTGTTGACAGTGCCATACTCTTTGTGTATTGGATCTACATGTAATATATAAGATAATACATGTAATTGTCACACTGACAAGTGATGATTCAACAACTTTACCTAAATGATAACTAAATTTTCAATGAAAAACAAGTAAATATCTAAGGGGACCATGAACAATAAAAATATGAAAGAAACAACAATAATTCAATTAGTTTAGATGTATCATTATCTCAAGTAAACTAACTGATATGATAAACAAAGATCATAAGGCATCTCAAATAAAAAAAATATTATGTGGGTAAGAACAACATCATGTTCATGTTAAATTACATCCAATCCTATTTAAAAAAAACATGAGAACGCTCACAATAAGTTCTTTCTTTTTGAAGTATTGTACATCATATAGCAAGCCATATTAACTTGTAAAAGATGCTGATTCAACGATATAACATGGAGGACAACTAATTGCCTTACAAAATGAGTAAATATGAAGAGTGAGAATGAATAATAATAATTTAAATGAAAGAACATTAATTCCATTAGGTTTGATTTATCTTTTGTCAAATAAAATCAAAATAATAAACAAAGACTATAAGGCACCTCGTATTAAAAAAACACCATAGGGGTTAAGAATGATATCGTGCCCATATTAAATTACATTCTATCCTATACAAAAATAAACAAAGGGACAATCATGAGTACACTTCAAAATACAATCATAATTTCATTTAATCATTTAAGGGAATCCTTAATTAGCATTTCCTTATAGCTCACTTGATTTATGACATGCATGGGTTGAATTTGTAAGAGCTTCTTGACTTGAACTTATTTTTTTTCATCTTTAAACAAATTTTATTTTACCTCTCAACCAGATCCTTTCTAGCATCTATGGCCATGAATGCATGTTCTATATTTGTAGCATCCTTGTACTTGTTTCCAAAATAGCATACAATACAAGGAGTGGCGGGTTTTGCTAAACAAGGGAATTATGCAGGAAACTACTTTAAGTGTTAGTTTAAAATTTTAATAATTATATTAACTACAATTATTCCCAATAGCTTGAAGGAATAGTAATTCCCAACTTATAATTCTAAGGAAGAAAAGGACTACAATATTAAATTGAGTGTTTACTTATTAAGTAGAAGTGGGGTTTTAAGGTAAAAATGCTCATCGAGTCTAACAAATTCACATGACTATAAAAGGTTGGTGACAAACATGAGCCACCCATAAGCACATTGAAAGGAGAAGTAAAAGCAAAATTGACCAATTTTAAAGATGACTAGTTAACTTGAGTTGATGAAGCTAGAGTTATTGAAAAGATTATAAGGCTACTCATTTGTTCTCTATTTTTTTGCTATACTCCTAGTTGATCATATCATATCATTCACCATCCACGCAAACATTAACTATGTTCAGTAGAAAGTAAAAAATGTTTAATGATGAAAGTGTAAAGTTTCATCGATTCATATCATTGTTACCTAGCAGGGATGCAGATTGAGCAAGTTTAAATATCTGTTCAAAGTTATGCTACCCAATTACTTCTTTATCAAATATGGCACCTGATAAGACCACTGATGATGCTCTTTGCCAAATATACTCTCCAATTGAATCTACAATCATTTAGAAAGGTCATTTGTAGTATACACTCATGGAATATGATAGCAAATTGATACATTGATTAAAATGCATGCATTTGTTCCTGTTTTATATAGATATTAGTCAAAATATGCTATGAAGAGCTTCTTTGATAATGTTATATATATACTTACACGGTCACAACCGATGAGTATTGTTCACAAATAAAAAAAAAACTCAACTCATATGCAATGAAGATTTAAACACATGCCACAAGGAGCTCATTTCACAATCATAAACAATTACAGAGCACTTGATTTTTCAAACTCAATTTCATTCATTATAGATAGACAAAATGCTAGATAAGCATGGCACTAAAAAATGCATAAGCTTTAAGAGAAGAACCAAAAAACAAACCTGAGCTTTGTACTTTGCTCGGTGACATAAAGAAAAGGGTAAGGACCACTATGCGCTGCAATGCTCCACAGCACCTTGGAGAATAATGTTCCCTTACTTGTCTAGACAATGAAATCCACCCAAGAAGAACCTCCCTTAATGCCCACAAGTATCCAACAGAATAGAAACTTCTTTTTCTAGTTGACCAATTTGATTTGGTTTACTTATGACCATCTGAGTCTAAGCTATTCTCTTAAACTAGAGCTAGATGTTATTGCATTTCTCGTTTCATCTTTAGATCTTGAGTGTGAAAGTTGCCATCACAACCACGCTCAACTTTTTCTCCTTGATCATTTCTTTGGTTCTTCGATTAGGAATTGTTTCTCTAATTCAATCTCCATCCATGCTGCACGAAAAATTTCAATGATGCTTAGATATTAGTTTTAGAGAAGAGTTTTTAAAAGAGGAGTCCCACAATCATGGTGACACAGTTGAATGTGAAAAGATGAAAGATTCAAGTTGCAACTCACGTCAACGGCCATGTATCGTCTCCAATTTACTGTATTTTTTTCTCCTAACAACAAACGATATTTTGATCCATCCACCTCATCCTTTTTTTAACATTAAAACGAGTTTGGTCTTTCAGTTATATTTGGTCTCCAGGTATAATTTCTCTTTCACTCATGTCCTTTTTACCAATTCTCCTTTAGTTGTATCTTCTTGCGAGAGGAGTATTTCCGAGCTCATTTTTCGGCGCCAGGATTTCCGTTCCGGTTAAAAAATCGCATGATCCTCCCATCCGCTAGCCGCAAAATACTAAATTACTAATAAACAAAGGCGCAAAGCGGTGAGTTGTATCCCCAAATCAAACATAGTGCCAGTGGCGACTTGAGTGTGTGGGTGTGAAATTGCATGGTCTGCAGGGAGTGACAGTCCGACAGAGGAACAGCCCTCAAACTCAGACTTTGATGAAATGTTTCAACCCAGCAGACAGGTTAATTCCTTCCCCTGCGCGCCTCTCCACCTTTATCATATCTCTTGCTTGGTATCTTTGAACTTCTACAGTCTTTTGCGTGGGGGGAGTCCAGTTCGCAACGATCAATTTTTATTTTTCGTCTTCTTTTTACTGCATTTGTCACTCATTCCTTTTTACAATCCATCCCCCTTCCTCCATTGTCAGAAATTATCGAAACCCTCAATTACTCGAATCAGAGCCTCCATTGTCAGTTCTTCTTATGCGTTTGTTTATTATCCTTTTATTTTTAATTTCAGTTGACTTCATGAGTTACGGGACACGAAAACGAGTTTTTGGTCCTTTGAACTATTTCTGGAAGAATTTTGTTCGACAATGCCCGATGTAAATGGTATTTCGATGCTCAATGTGTGTTCCCCGCGTCCCATAACAAATCAAGGAATTAGAGTCATTTACGTTAGACTAATATTGTGATGCTCTGCTATTTGTTATACGAGAGAGCTATTTTGATAAATTTTTGGATGAATTGTTTATTTCATGTGTTCTGGGTTGCATCAAAATGTCTGATAGGCGTAAAAGATTTTTGGTCACTTTGTCACTGACAGCATCAAAATGAGTTGGCATTGTATGCTGCATTAATGTTGTGTAGCATACTGTTATAAGTTACAACATGTATGTTAGTTGTCATTTATCATCTATTCTCATCGCCACATGTGCATATTTTCATATACTATAATATCTGTTCTTTTCTTTCTGCAAGCTTTCTCTGCTAATAGTTAATTTATTCAAAACACCTCAATTATTCCTCTATTGACCCAGCAGAGATGACCTGATAGAATTTGATCTAGTGGCCTTACATTTACGGGTGCTGGTCTTTCAATCAACAGAGCAAAATTTCATTGCTCCGTACTTCTGTATCCAATAAAAGAAAGGAAAGGGCAGGGAAGAAATTAGCCTTCCTGTTCACACAAGACATTGTCCCATTATACTTTTTTTTTTAAAAAAGGACGTTGTCCAATAATTTATGGTTTAGTGTCTCTGCTTCTCTTTTTCTGGATACTTAGCATATACTTATTCATTTAGTTTGATGGACAGTCTGTTTCGTCAGCCTTGTTGCCTGTGGATTTAAATGAAACCTCTATAGATGCACAGGGCAATGAGCTGAATGGTGGATTCATACAGGCAGAGTCCATAATCTGAAATTCCCAGGCTGCGATTTTTATTTTTTAAAAATTTTGTGTTGTTGAATCTGTCAATTGGAATGAAATTTTTTCTGTATTGAATGATTGTTTGTTTCTCAATTAGCTTCATTTTACTTTATGACAAGCATGCCTATCTATCATGTCTCTTGATTTTAGTTGAGTGTTGATGGGTGATGCAAACTTACCACTCATTATGCAATGCTTGCAGAAACTTCAAGATGGTTTACAAATGTTAGGGATGAAAATTAAGCACCATGAAGGCAACCTAAATCTTTTGAATACTCAAAAAACTAAACTAGATGATTCTATTCTTGGTTTGCAAGGTACATTCAAAATTACCTTTGAAGGCGTTTTCTATCTTTGCTTGGCACTCTGATAATGGATTGGGTAATCTAAATGGATGAGATGCTAGTTATCATGAGCACTCTAATGGTGTACAGACTGATTTAGAGATGGTAAATTTTTATGACAATGGCATCTGGATTTGTTTGAGGTGCCACCCAAAATGGTAGCATCCTATGTCTCCATGCATGTTGGATGGCTTTAGGTATTTTGGGTAGTAGATTACCAAATGCATGCATCTTGGAAGCATCTTGACATCCATGGTACCATAACAAAGATGATAGTGTCACAAATGGCTACCAAGCGTTGTTTGTTTAAAAAAAAGGATTGCAATAAACTTTCCATATATATATATATATATATTTGGTTAATGAAGAGCTATTTTCTTGTGTGTGGTGTTTACCATGTTAATAGATATTTTTGAGAAATATAAATCATCAAGTATGCCCAAGAATTGCAAAGCGGACAATTTGCAGCCAACAAGTGAGGAGGCAATAAATGAACAGATATTGCAACTTAAAAAATCTGCTGCTGGTATATTACGCCAGCTGAAAACTTATCACGGGACTCAAGCATCTAATCTTTCATTGATAAAGGATATTGTGGGTATTGTTGCTACCCTGGGAAAAGTTGAGGATGATAACCTTAGCAGGTATGTTTGGTCTACATATTCACTCTCTGGCTTGTAAAACAATGCGGATATTCAAAACTTGTTGTCTCTTTGCAATCAATGGCATTTATTTAAAGAATATGAAAAGTAACTTGATTCTCTGAATTGCTTATAGTGCTTGAATCTTATGAAATATGTAAGCATGCATGCTATTGCTTTACTATACTTGGAAATTGGAATGCAGGCTTTTCTCAGAGTATCTAGGAGTAGAGACTATGCTGGCAATTGTCTGTAAGACTTATGAAGGAGTTAAAGCTCTTGAAATTTTTGACAATGATGGCTGCATAGACAAGAGTTCTGGTCTTCATGGGCTAGGTGCCTCAATTGGAATGGCCTTGGATGGTCGTTTTTCAGTGATATGTCTGGAATCTCTCAGGCATGACTTCATGATCTTTGTATTTAGTCTTTAATTTGTGACATCATTGAATTTCCTAAAATACTGTTGTTTTTGACTATTTCCCTTCCCCTTTTGTAGGCCATACGCTGGTAAATTTGTGCTTGATGACCCGCAGAAAAGGCTGGACATTTTAAACCCAAGATTACCCAATGGAGAGTGTCCAGTTGGGTTTCTTGGCTTTGCTGTAAATATGATAAATATAGACGGCTCAAACTTATTTTGTGTAATTCCCAATGGTTATGGTCTCAGAGAAACTTTGTTTTATAGTCTCTTTTCACGTTTGCAAGTATATCAAACGAGGGCGAAAATGATACAAGCACTTCCTTGCATAAGTGACGGAGCTCTTTCTTTAGATGGAGGAATGGTTAGGACTAGTGGTGTATTTTCCTTGGGCAACAGGTAAGGGGATGCATGGGAAATTTATTTTAGTTTATACATCAGATATTTTCTATGGTTCGAGCAGTGGCTCTGGTAATTATTGTAGCTGACAAGAGTAGAGCTGTCCATGATGAATGCTAACTATTTCAGTGAATCGTCTCTATTACTGGGTGTTAAATACTGAAAAATATATCTACCATTGTTGTCGGCCAACATTGAGCCTCAATGGTTAGACGTTGGACATGGTAATTTGGTCTTGTAGGTTCTTCCTTTGATATCTGATTTTTGTGTTTACTGGCGAGAAATTGTTTTCCGTTCTTTAAACCAGTTCTTCTTCTTCTTCTTTTTAACTTCCAGACTAAGCTTGATTCTTGTGGCTTCGTAATGCTCTTTTTTGTTGTTTGTCTTGAAGGATGAATTCATTTAATATTCATGCCCCAAAAAGTTATATTGAACTATTTAAAGTAGTTGCCAGTTCAAAATAATCATAACTCACTAGTTTTTCTTATTTTATTTTTGGGTCGTGGGTGGGGCTTGTTTCCATGATGTTAGGGAAGATGTAGATGTCAAGTTCCCCAGCCCAGCGGAGCTTGGTAACTACAATGAAATTGAGAGGCAAATGAAGGATTTGAAAGCGGAGAAGGACAAGATTCTGCGGGACATGAAAGGGAACAGAGTTTGTTGGACGCAGCAAAGTTCAATTTCAATAAAAAAAAGAATGAGTTTCTGAAGTTTTTAGCAGAAAGTTCATCATATGCAACTCAGGTAAATGCCCCAGTGATACCTCTTAACTGAGTGTGTGAAAGGGCTTATTTTGTCTGAAGATCGGAATCCGTATCCTAGGTCATGCATGAGAAGTTATATGTTGAAAAGTTGAATAAATGAATATAAAATATATTATAAATTTACTCAATTGTTGATATTTAATTATTTTCGAAGTTATGATTGTGTTTTTTCGATGTTCTGTTACTCTGAGAGAAGTCGGACAACTATAGATCTTTTCCCTCAGGATTTGCTTCTTCTTTTCGTTAAAGCGCACTCTAAATTGCTTACCATGGGGATTTTAATGATGAACAAGAATCTTACTGATTAAGTGATCAACATATCCTGAATTTGAAATGCTTGGCTTTTCAAATTTTGCAATGGGGATTTTAATGATCCACTAGAGTCTCTAAATGGTGAAGTTATGAGTATTCTGAATCTGAAATGCATGGCTGTTCCAACTCCGCTATGCGGTTCTTGATGATAATCAATGAGATTCTCTTTCTGGAAACTCAATGACAAGTGGAAAAAATTAATTAAATCATATTTGTTTTACATCATCCACTCAAGTATGCATCACTGTAGTTCGCATACGTAACCGTGTCAAATGCGGGAGCTTTGCATGTGTTGCGGACGGAATTGTAATGTGGCTATTGTTTGGGTCTGCTCGTGTTTGTTTTTTTTTTTTAAAAAAAGAAAGTGGAACGGCCCCAATTGATGTGTGAAGTGTTTGGAAAGTTTTTTTCACGCTTGCACTTCTTCCTTTGCCGCTGCTGCTTTAAAATATGCTTTCTGTTGTTGTTTTAAAATATGCTTTCTGTCTGTCTGTCTCTCTCTCTCTCTCTCTTTCGAGGGCATCGAATCCTCCTATGAGTTCTACTTTCGTAATCAACTTGTTCTAATGTTTGAATTTTTTAAGAAAAACATAATTTTTGTGTTCTAATATGTATTTAATCATCAATTTAATTTATTATAACTCAGTTATTGTAACTTATTGAATTAAATAATTATAGAGATTGATTTGTTTGAGACAAAATTTAAGGATGGAATCGAGAATTTAAAAAAAAATTAAGAATTAAAATTTATATTATTCTAAAATTCTATTTTATTATATCTTCTCATTTTTTGACTTCCCTATAATTATCAGGTTCAGACCACTCCCGCTAAACTCATCTAAACGATGAAGAAGCTCGCCATGGAGTGATGAGTGATGGAGCCTCTATGTGGCAGCGCGGGTCTGTAGTGAGCTTATGCCTCAAATTTAGCAAAATTCATTGCAGCCATTCATTATTAACTTGTGGAGTGGAGTGTGGATAAGCTTGACGGCAGGATTTTTTTGGGGGTGTTATTTAGGCTCATGCACAACTAAGTGGGGGGCGCTGCGATGAGATACTCGTCTTGTGTCACCGTTTCAGTCGTTGTAAAAAATATATATATTTAAAAATTAGCCCGATTCTATTGACAGATGAGTACTGCGAAAATTAATCAAAATTTGTCAACCTAGTATAAACTAGAACGTAAGTGCTTATTAAGCGTTTTTGGATTTAGATGCACATTTTGATTTTGATAAGTTGTCGAAGTCTAAGTCATTTAATTTTTTTTTATAAAAAAATGTGTGTGATATTACAATAGATTCGTGGCAAAGAGAAAAAAAAAATAGAAATAATCGACCAAAAAAAGTTTAGACCTGGAGAATATTTTAGAAAAAATGGTAATAAAATCCTTCTGAAATATACAAATGATAATTTGATCTCTCAAAATATTATAATTCTCTTAAAATTTTTAGATATTTTTTTGTTATTAATAAATTTATATTAATTATTAAATTAAATTTGTTGAAAATAAATGATTCATAAATTTTATTAAAATATTCACAATTCTTTTTTTCATATTCACACTAATATAATGGCAAATAAAGAATTTAACATGTGAAATTGTAATTTATTATTATATTATTGTAAATATAAAAAAAATTTGTGAATATTAAAATAAAATTTATGAATGATTTGTTTTCAATAAAGGTAATTTAGTAATTTATATAAATTTAATAATGATAAAAAATTATTTAAGATTTTAAAGAGATTATGATATTTTGAAGGATTAAATTATCATTTATATATTTTAAAGAGATTTTATTATTATTTTTTAATATTTTATGAAATAGTGAGAATCAATTTTCAGAAAAATATATGAAATGTTAGCCCACAGATGACTGAAATTAGAAGGATTCCGGAAAATTGAAATTGGGCAATCTGAATTATAGTTGTATTGTTTTGTTTTGTTTTTTGGCCTGAATGTATTGTTTTGTTATATTATTTATTTTAATTTGATAGAAATCTATACAATAGATGAATAGAATGAAAATAATAACTGAGCTTTTGCATTTATTATTATGTTATAGAATTAAACTAAGTAAATAGCCTAACATTCATTATATTTTGTATCATGATTGGTTTATTATATTTCTTTTGTTTAAAAATATAAAATATTTTTAATTAAATTTTATCTCAATAAAGTAATTACTTACTTTTCAACTAACTCTATCTTTCTATATTTACCCTTATTAAATATCTTATAATAAATATAAAGTCATTATCAATAGAGATATTTTTGAAAAAAAAAAGATAATGATTATACCTCGAAAGTTTAAAAATATTTTATATTTTTTAACATTCAACTTCTAAAATAATGCCTTATATTTTCAGATGGAGAGAGCATTTGTCAAGGATATACTGTTATATATTAATAATAAATTTATAATAAATAAACTTTTTATATATTAATAATAAATTCTCTATATAACAATATAAACCGACCGTACTTGTAAATTTTCAAAATTTGATTTACATTTTTTTAGGTACAAGGTTTTTTTTTTTTTCCGTCAATGGCCAGTTTATCCAATAATCTTCTAATTATTAAATGAGTAATTTTTGATTGATGGTATGTAATATTTTAATTAAAAATAAAAAATAAAATATCAACTGGTCAAATTAAATTTGTACCGTACTCGTTGGGATAAGATTACCACTGTCTTCTGGAGGAAAAATGAGTTTCAGTGTCGCGGATTCCAGGCAATCTGATGTTCCCTGCTGCGATTTAGATATTCTTGTTCTTTTTTTTTTTTTTTTTGCTTGATAAATTTAGATATTCTTGTTCTTGCGTTAAGACTTTTTTCGATATTTTCCCATCTTTGTCTTCTTGAAGTCTAATCTATTGCCTTCTCCTAAATGTCCTGCTTTTATCCATGAGACTCTGTGTCGCGGACTTACGACAGGGCAGAGATTTTTTCGCGCGCTTTTCATTTATTTTTCCCTCTTAAGCTTAATTCCGGCTAAACTTCGCCGAATGCTCGCCTCTCACATGGCTGCCATGCTTAGACCCAAACTTTGCAAGGGAACGGCCTCTAAATTCAGATACGTTGTATTCAACCATATGCATGCTAGTCGCATTGTCAATTCTCACTTTACGCACCGAACAAAGTGGAACGAACACTTCATGATCACTCCTGATGACTTCACTTCGTCCAAGGCCGTCTCGCTCGTGGGAGACTTTGTAGAAAACGGCACTCGAATCTTTAGAAAAGCGAGTGAGAAATGGAGTTGCAGGTCTTATTTTACTGTCAGCTCCAATGGAGAGCCACCGGTGCTGTGGTCTGGGGATGGGGTCAATATTAGGATGGGCAACTCGAACTTCAATGAGGCTCGTGGCGACGGCGATGGCGGTGAGAGTCTCGGTTCAGGAGGTGATTCTGGTCCGAATTCTAAGGATGAGTTCTCTGGTGGCTCCAATTTGGGGAGTAATGTTCCGACGCCAAAGAAAATTTGCGAAGGACTCGATAAATTTGTAATTGGGCAGGAGACGGCCAAGAAGGTGACTCTTTCCTCGTTCTGTTTCAACCTTCATGTAGTCTACGATGCAAGCCATACTGGGATCCGTTTGTGTTGGACACAGACGTATTAGATACAACACAATTCTCCAAAGCTATATTGAAATAATGCATACTTTGTCTATGTCGTCGTGGCTTCTATCACGTATCCGATATCGGTGTCGGTGCTTTTAGCAATTAGTATTCTGCCATTTTGAATAGTTTAGTTGCATGTAGGTTTTGCTTTTGTGCTTGAGAGTTTCAGCTATTAGTGATATTTGATTATTATTCACGTGACGTTAGTGGAGTTACTGTTAGTTACATAGAAAGTGGCTATACTATGTCAGCTAGAAATGACCGTGTGGGGCAACATCTGGTTGACTATGTGATAGTTTTGGAGGATGTTAATTTGGATGACCAATGAATGTTGCATTTTATGTCCGATTCTGATATAAATTTCTGTCAGTATTTTCCCTTGGGGATGGTTCATCTATAATGTTGATATAAACGGGACGATGAACTCTTTTTCCCGGAATTTATTTTTCTTAATTACATATATATTTATATATTTCAAATGCAGGTACTTTCTGTGGCCGTTTATAACCACTACAAGAGAATTTATCATGAATCTTCTCAAAAGCAGTTAGTATATTATTTCACTGCCCTACTCTTTCTTTCAAATTTTCCCATTCGTTCTTCTTTCACATGCAGTCTTGGGCGAGATGTTAAACAATAATCTTTTTTCTTTTTTAGCCTTGTTGATAACATGCAGGAATTGTTTTTGACTTGCTCTTGTTACTATTTGCAATGTTAGGCCTGCAGGAGATTCAAGTACTAAAAAGGCTGATGCTGTTGACGAAGAAAAAGTTGAACTTGAGAAAAGCAATATTCTTCTAATGGGGCCAACAGGTTCAGGTAATTCAAATGTTACTTTCCTTAGTTAACGTTAAGTGTATATATAATTGTAGTTCCGGATTATATTTCTCAACATATAATAGAATGTTAAAGCAGTCATGCTTCAATTCAGAAGAGATGAAAAAGCTTCTCAGTCGGTTTCTCAATTGTCCAGTGACATTCTTGTATGAATGAGTTGTTTTGACCCCTTTAGTTTTAAATTGCACTGTCAATGTATCACCTTTCAAGTTAGAGATTTAAGAGATAACAAAGC